ACAACAACAACAACAACCCAAAAACAAAACAAACAAAAAAACAAAACGAAGGACAAAAAAAAGCAGCACTCACGCCATAAGCGTATTTGTTGATCCGGATCTTCTGTCCGTCGTACAGGGTGACAAACTGCTGGTTCCTTTTCACAAAGTTACTGATGTTGAGTCGACCAGGAGCCGTGTGGTACTTGAGCAGCGGCAGAGAGTTCTCATCAGAGATCAGCTCTGTGCTATGAAACAGACATCAAAATTGGAAAGATAGAAAAAAGAACATTTATTCTTGAACTTCTATTTTGTATATTTTATGTCATCGTGAAAAAGGCGATAATCTTGAAGTACTACATCTCCTTTACGGTACTGAAAATGGCATCCTTATCCATAATAATAAACAGAACAAAGAAACTGGTATCCTTATCTATGATAAGAAGAACAAAGAAATCACTGATGAGAAAGACTTATAGCTGCAACATAACGTTGTCTTCAAATTTATCTTGACAATATTTCTTGTTTTAGTGTTTATTTGCTCATTTGTGAGCTCAACATCCAACTTAATCATAAATTGGACTAGAGTGTGTTGGTTACGGTCTTCATGGTTGCATGCAAAAGACGCGAGTTCAATTCCCAGGGGGGGGGGGGCATAACAATTCACAGAGTATCTCCGTCCTTTTGCTGAAATCACACTCAGATCACACCCAGCCTAGATTGGCCCAACCAGACATGGTCGGACCAGCCCAAAATATACCCTCGGAAAAAAGTAACTGTCCTTAGATTTCAGGCCTGATTTTGAAAAGGTTATAATCTCGCTACATTAATAATCCTGGTAAATTATTTTTAACTTATTCAAAGACGAAACGATTTGTAAGACTAGATATCTAGTTTTTGACCAAAACATCAATTTATACACAAACAACTCACGACAAGAAGACAGCCTCCAAAAAACAAACAAACAAACAAAAAAAACAAAAAAAACAAACAACGCAAAACGCGATTTAAGGAAAATTACATGTTTGCGTTAGAGCGTGATTATGGACTGTTATTTTTCTCCCAGGGTATAATAACAATATGTCATAATTAGACTGAGTCCTTGGGGGTGAAGAGAAAAACTTTGTAATATTTGAAGAAAATTGGTTATTTGTAAGGTGTGACACTTGGTCAGGTGTGCAGAGTGAGGTAGGAGGTAGGATAAGGGAAGGGAAGAAAACAAAGGTCGCTGTGCATATTTTAAAAAATAAATTTAGGTGTTTTTTACGCCCACATCGACACAGTTAAGGTCATTCAGGAGGTGCGCTTCGACCGTGCATGTCAGGGTCAACCCGGGCTGAGAGAGAGAGAGAGAGAGAGAGAGAGAGAGAGAGAGAGAGAGAGAGAGAGAGAGAGAGAGAGAGAGAGAGAGAGGGGGAA